GAGGAGAATATTTGCTTTTCTTTGTATCTTCTAATTTTCTATTCGTTGAATGCCAGTCGAATTCACGCTTGATTTCCGTCGGAGACACTAAATTGACAATCGCACATGAGAAGACCGAAGTTGAACTAACCACTTCAAGACACCGATCTACACTGATCCACATCGAATTCAACCATCCGACTGAATTCCCGTTTGGAACTCGAATCCCTCAGCACCCTCTGCCCCTCTCCTTCACTTTTCCTCTGCCGCCCCGCTCTTCCCGGTCACTTGGTTTCGCCAGGCAAGCGAGCTTTCCTCGACCAATCGAGAGAATGTATTTTTACCCCCCCAGATTCGAATTGGTGATTCACACCCCCGCACTATCCTTTCTCTACGTTCGAGCAACCAATACACAATACCTACTGTCTCTACCTTTCTCATCCCGTCTCTCTACCACCCCTTTCCTTCTACTTTCATCCGATTCAGCGTTCCCGCACGTGGATGTAATATTCGCAATTCGCGTTAAACGAACGATTACAGTTTATCTGTATCACTAGTATCATGTATCATACCATGAAGAGTCATCGTTAAAGTTGGTAATTTGTTCGGAATCGAATTGAAAGGGATCCGGCGCCTTGGACTCCTCCAGTAGTCAATGTGACTACGCGGAAGTAGTAGCGCGCAACAATATGTATCCATATGCAATGAAGCTTGAGATCCAGTCGAACGTGTTACTCGCCAGGTGCAGAATAAATGAATGACCAAGCAATGAGGAAGAGCACAAAAGCGTGTCCCTATCCTCCACGCATGACTTTAATGCGAGAATTATGTAGCGATCGTATGCGAACAAACACAAGAGATGAAAAGTTTTCAGTGAGGAAAACACCATTGCTTCGTATGGTCACTACTAGAGGAGTCATTCGGAACAGTTTCACTCGTGTAATATACGTACGTGGCATTTGGTGGATCGGTATTTTCGAACTTTTCTTATGAGGGATGAAGCTTATTACTGTGGCGGCATTCCAGGGCGCAGTTTGATCGTAGGCCACCTTCACCAGAGCATACGTGTGCATGCAGTTACGTAGTCCAGCACCTACATAGTCCGTAGAAGAGTTTTCCATACCAAGGGGTGGAAGGGCGCGTGCGCCGCGAAATCATGAATGGAGCCCACCGCTCAATGCGAGAGGAGTCCAGCTATACAGTCATACAGCCACTCTACTTTTATTTATATCCCTCTAACAATGACCTTCAGCCAAGGTAGGGTTGATCAGACAAATCAGGTCTTCCGTTCTGCAAAGAAACAGGTGTCATTACTATCGTCCACGATTTTTAGATAACGATTCTTCTAACTAAATGACAGAACCTGGTGGCTCTTTATGATTCGTTTGATACTTGTATCGTTGGATCTGTGTGCAAACTTCGATTACACATGGAGATTACACACAGTCTCTGATTTCTGTTGGGAAGTATATTTGTTATAGATATTTAAAAATGTAGAAACACGAT